TACCTGAGTCACGTTCATTTGCCAGCGGGCCCAACAGCACTGCTAGGCCAGGCCTGCGTGTGGTTCCCTTGGAGGAGACACTGCTCACGCACACCTCAGAGAGGTGGTCTTCAAGGGAGACGCTTGATTCTTGGTGGAGAGGGAGGAAACAGCCAGTCTGGGCAAACAGGCCACAAAGGGGTCCCTGCCCCAGCCTTTCCACTGAACCCACGGTGCGGACCCCCTGTGGTCCCAACACCAGCCTCGGCCAGAGAGCTGGAGGCATCCTGGCAAATGGCCGGTTGAGTTGGCCCAGGATGGGCACTGAGGGGGAGCTGGCAACACGGACCTCAGGAGGTCACCAACGTCTGGTTGCCAAGAGCGAAGCTGCTCAGCCCTCATCAGAACCATTCTCAGAAAGCAGTTTTCTTGGTGTCCATGGCTGCGTGGTGTCTGTGGCACCCTCTGTCACTGCTTGCACTCCTTGGGCTGGTCCTCCAAGGCCGCCATCATGGACTCTTTCCCTTCACCCACCCTCAGATGGGCCTGTTCCCCAGGCCTTGGCACCCTCCCCTCCATCTGCTCTCCTGGGCAAGCGCCTCCACTCTGGAGGCTCTGGCTGTGTTCACACATCCCAGGCTCGCTCTCCTGCCCAGAGCTCCAGAACTCTGGACCCATCTGCCTCCCCAGCCTCTCCACTGGGGAACCCACAGGCACCCCGGACTCCACATGGCCACCCTGAGCCTACCACCCCGCACCCTGACCCATCCCCGTCCCATCTTCCCTGCTGCTGAGAGTGGCGTCACCAGCCACCCCAGCTCCTGAGCTAGAATTAGGAGTCACCCAATGCACAGTCATCCTCAACACCTCCCTCTCACCCCCACGTGGAATTGGTCATCATCTCCTGTGGGTCGCATCTTCAGAAAGGAGCCTCCTGTCTGCCTGCACTGGTAGCATCACAGGGCAGGACCTGGCACCTCTCTCATTTGCACAGCTGCTCCCCAAGAGGCCTCCCTGCCCCCCTCATTTACCCCAGCCTACACCCTCCGTTACCAGAGAGACCTTTCTAATGCAGCCTGGCACATGGCCCACCCCTGCCCTGCTCAAAGTCCTTCTGTGGCTCCCACTGCCCTCAGATAAAATGCTGGCACCTTCATGTAGCTTCCAAGGTCCTGCCTGTCCCAGCCTCTCCTCCATTTCCTGCCACATTTCCAACATGTCCAGCATCGCCCCCACCCCAAAACAGGCCGTGCTGGCCAGCTAATGCTTTTCCCTTCTCCCAGCAAGCTTTGCCTGCCCTCGCCTATCAAAATCCTCTATTTTCTTCCTGGCCCACCTCCTCTGAGAGGCCTTCCTTCCTTGTTCCTTCAATAAATTGGAACCCCCAGCCCCTCTCCAGTTGCCATGGCACTTTGCTTGTCTCTCTGGAATCCATCTGCTTTCACTGACTCCTCCCTAGACTTCGAGCTTCTCAAGGGCACGGGCTGGTCTAGTCTTTCTCTGTGTTCCCTGCCCGGGTATGTGGAGTTGGTGGCCGTAAACATCTGCTCACTTGAGGGCAGACTGAATTGAAATGAGAGAGAAAGCCTGGAATGCCAGCTCTGTCCCCAAGCCCCTGCTCCTCTCCCTCAGCCGCCTCCCCCAGGAGCCCTCCCACTGCCTGTGTCTCCCCCTGCTCCTACCTGCTGCCCCCAGCAGGGCAGGGAGCCCAGGGGAGCCTGGGGGTGCCGGGGGGGAGGCCTCAGTCTCCTCTGAGCCAGCACACACGGGGGAGTGGGCACAGTGGCCCGTGGCCCTGGGCCGTGGTCCTCCACGGTGGTGGTGAGCAGCCTCTCTGATTTTAATGTGGGCCTCAGTGCTTCAGTGAAAGCCGGCATGGGAAGTTGCTAATAATGGCACTAAAATAAAATATGCTACATCTGTTATGGGTAGCAGAACAAAATTAGCTGCTCACACCTCTGACATCCAAGATGTCTTAACTTAAAATACTCCTTGGCTTACTTTACATCATTTACTGATTATATTTAAAAGAAATACAATTTTGCAATTACTGTTCTTTCCAGCGTGATATCTATGCATCATTTTCCTTTTATGTTTATATATTTCTCCTTCATTAGTGCAGTCTGAAGGGTGATTAGGATTCTTCAAACATTTTACAGAGGTTAAACGTTGATTAAGATTTAATTATTACTGTAAATAGCTTGGAATGACATATGGTGCAAAAGCCTGACATATGTGCATTTGAATAAATGAAGTGCTATTTCCCAGGATGCCTCAGTAGCTGTTTAACAGCTTTCCCGAAGGGTTATGTTACACCTCATGGTAAGATTGCTGGGATGTTATATTTTGTTGGTTTTTGCAGCTGAAAGCTAAGAACAGTTTTCCAGTTTTTTAAAAACATTGAATATTTTAAATACCTAAATTGTTTTGCACAAATTTTTGCTAATTTGTCTAACTAGGTTAAACATTTTCAAAAGCATTTAGATTTTTAAGCGTGGGCGCTGTGCATTGTGTCAGTGGCAGCGTGGGGACGAGGGGAGCCGGCAGGGTGGAGGGGACTCGGGGGTGGTAGGGGTGCAGAGGGAGAAGGTGGTTTGAGGAGAGGGGGTGGGGAGGAGGCCTGGGCTCTGAGCCTAGCTCTCCTGTGCTCGGCCCTCTCAAGTGGCCAAAACCTGGGCACTGGAGTACCAGGGACTACAGGGGAAGGGTCCCCTCTTCTCAAGGAACCCCACCATGCCCACTAGCCCCAGTCCTCACCAAGCTGCCTCTTGTCTGGACTCTGCCGTGCACAGCCTGGGCCTCGCTGAGCTCTCCGAAGGCCATGACCAGTCTGTGCCACCTTCTGCCTACATCCCGGGGTTGTCGTGTCTGGACAGACAGCAGGTGCCTATGACTAAGTTCAGCCAAGCTAAGTTACAAAGGCCTGGTGCCTGGTGACTCTGTCAGGCTGGGGCCTTCTCCCCGAGGGAGCGCCTCCCCCGCCACCCTCTCAGGCTGGGGGTCAGGCAGGGCCCTGGGCTCAGCCCCTAGAGAGGAAGCCCAACATCTGGGCTGCTGTGGGGTCTCCAGGGGACCCTGTCCTCCCAGTGCCTGTGCCTCTTTGCTTTCCACCCATGTATTCAACACTTAGGGAGCACTGTGCTGGGCTTTGAGGAATCAGGGTAACAAGATAGCAATGTTCGCTGCCTCAGGGAGCTTGCGACCCAGCGTGGAGGGGTAGGGGGTGGGACTGGGAGAGAAGTGCAGGGAGCCACGCCCAGCCTGGCTGGGGCCTGAAGCTGACATAGGAAAGACAGCTGCGGACAGGGAGGAGAGCAGGGGTGGGGGCAGGGCCGCAATCGGGAAGGTGCAACCTGGCAGAGGGGACAGCTCAGGTGAAGACTTGGGGGGAGCCCGGTGTGTCTGAGGAACCAAATCAGTGTGTGTGCCCCGAGTCTCCAGTACTAGAGCAAGGTGGCGCAGGAGGCTGACCTGATCTCCAGGGCGGTGTGGCCTGGAGCCATTTGATGTGAGGAGACCCCTGACCAGACTTGCGGTTTAGAGGCCGGCACTGGCCGTGGGGGATGAACTGAGTGGATGAGACCTTGAGGGACGGAGGAGGACTGACAGAGAGGCTCCGGGGTCTCTGGCCAGAGCGCCATGGGATGGTGGTGTCTTTCCCCAGACGGGGAGCTGGGTTGGGGCCAGGGGAGATGGTGGATTCGGTTCAGTTTCAGGTGGGTTGAGGGCAAGGCTGATGAGATGTCGTAGGAAGGTTCTGGTAGGCAGGCAGGCAGCAGTGGGCCTGAGGCTCGGGGGAGAAACTGGTGTGGGAGTCGCCCAGGGGCATGTGCAGAGAAGGGGCCTCGCCAGGCCGAGCCCCAGGGATCCTGACAAGGCGTCCAGTGGATGTCGGGAAATGGGGGTAGCAGTGACCTTGGAGAGAAGGATTTTTGTGGAGTGTGGTGAGCACAGAAGCCAGATTTGCTGTGGGTTGAAAAGTCAGTAGGAGGTGAGGAGGTGGATACAGCCAGTGTAGACAGTTCTTTAAAGAAACGCAGTTGTTGGGGAGGACAGAGACCAGGCAGTAGCTGGAGCGTGACTCGGGGTGAAGGGGAGGTGTCTTCAGAGGGGAGGTTCTGCAAAGTGAAGACAGAGGGAGGACCATGCAGGAGGGGCTTCAGGGTGGGTGGGGAGGTGGAGCCATGCGGAGATCTGCCTTAAAAGGGGATGGGAGGGCCAGCCGCCATGGGGTAGCAGGAGGGCCGGTGTAGGGCCACCTGTGGACACAGGTAGGCAGTGGGTCTGGTGACAGGAAACTGAGGGGCTCCCCTGTGGTGCCTGCAGTGTCTTCCCCTGAGGAAGAAAGATCATCTGCTCAGGGTGAGTGGGGACCGAGTGGGGTGGCTGAGGACAGCAGAGACGGATTAAGGTGGCCTCTATAGAGCATGGGCAGTGGAGTTGACCGGGCAGTGGGGTGGGGGCTCAGTGGTTGCCAGCTGCTGTGAGGGTCCAGCCAAAGTCAGGGATGGTGAATTTTGAGTGGTCCCCCTTAAGTGGTCAGGTGAAGTGTAGAGAGGGTGGATGCGTGGTTGGGCTTCTGCCAGTCAGGGACTGGGCTAGGGAGTTGCTGAAGTCGTGATCCTAGATGTCCGGGTTGGGGGAAGATGTGATGACCGACAGGTAGGGAATCTGGGGCCTGAGGTCTCAGTCTTCTAAAAGTAGGAGGAAGAGTGTGGTGCTGGGAAGATAGGGGACTGATGGGTCCAATATGGTCAGATTTGGACTTAAGGAATCTGATGGAGCAGCCCTGGGTGGTGTCAGGTCTAGGATGTGGCTGGAAGGGATGCTATGAGCCCTGTGGTGGGAGGGTGGTAGAGAAGGAAGATGTGTCAGTAGCGGGGCGTGTGGGCCCTGGCTGGGGCAGGGTGGCGGTGCAGAGTGGCAGAGCTGTGGGCACTAGGGGTCCCAGCTGCTGCTCCCCACCTCCCTGCTGGCCCCTTCCCTTTGCCCCACCTCCTCTCCATGTTCTCTCTTCCCAGATTGAAACGTCCCAGCTGGAGCCTGAGATTGCCCGGGCCACAAGCAGCCGGACAGTGGTGTACAACAAGGGGCTGTGAGTGGTGCCCGGCCAGCCGGCCTGGGGACAGATCACTGTTCAGGCCGGGGAGTTAGGGGTAGGGAAGGAGACTCGTGGGCTGCATCTGCAGGGAGGGGCGAGCTGTCCCCAGCAGTCCTGGGCCACCTGGGGAGCACCAAGCCTGCAGTGGTAGGGAGACTAATCCATTTACATATTAACATAGGGACAAGGAATTCTAACACATTTCCTACAGAAAATAATCAAGTGCATTTCTGGGCCTTACATGGGGTTGTCAAAACTCCACTCAGCACAATTATGTGTGAAGCTGAAAGGTTATAGAGTGCCCATGGGGTAGAATTAGGATCCTTTTATACTTTGGTTTCTTTTTTATTTTTATTTTTTACCTGAATCAAGTCTGAGCCTTGGTCACAGCTGACCAGAAGTGGTAGTAGACAGGTGGTGGGGGCCTGAGTAGGCCTGGGTTGGGTTGGTGGCCAGGCTGGTAGATTTAGGATATTACAGTGGCCAGGCCAGAAGCCTCCCAGGGCTGGAGAGGGCAGGGAAGGGGAGGTGGTTTGCACACCACAGGATGAACTAGCCATGACTAAGGTCCTCAGGAAGTGGCCCAGGAAATCCGGGAGCACTGGAAGCCTCTGGAAGATTCTATGGGCAGCTGGCTCTGAGTGTGGCCAGCCATCATCCATGCCATAGCTGCAAAACCAGTCCCTCAGAGTCAAGCACAGTGACGCTGGGGCTGGGGTCACCCTTTGCAGAGTTCTGACTGATTCAAAGCCCCTGAGATGACCCCAGCTCCAGGCAGGAGTCCCAAGAAGGAATGATGTTGGCAGAAACCACGGGCCTGCACGTGGCCTCTGAGAGACGCTCCTCCTTCCAGGCCCCAGGCTGGAGGCTGAGCACTGGGGCTGAGTGTGGGGCTGGAGCTGGGCCACCTGCTGTCCGAGGAGCCTCTCCAGCCACCAAGGCTGCCTGCCCCATCCCCTCCTTCCTAAGTAGGGGGCGTTTCATGCCAGAGAGTGCCAATGCCAGGTTGAAGGGGCAGCATCAACCCAGGAATGGTGGGCCCTGGCTCTGGCACTCATAGGCTGTGTGACCTTGGACAAGTTCATTCCTTTCTCTGAGCCTCCAGAACCAGAGGATTGGATCAAGCATTCGCACTGACTCTTCCGGCTAGACCTCGCCTTTGCCTGCCCTGCTCAGATGCTGGTCATCCAATGCACGTCCCCAGTGTGGACGCTGGACTGGAAAGGGGCAGATCCCCTTGGGAATGACCAGTGGTTGGCCTCCAAACCTGGATCTTGCCCTTCTGTGACCCCATATCCTAGGAGCACTTGACCTTTGCCTTTACAGACCTTTACAGTTCTGGAGAAGGAGGTGGTGTGGATGTCTGGGCCTGAGTGTGGGGCCACATCTCATGCCACCTGTCACCCCTGCAGCTCAGAGGCCCCTTGCCACTGGCTCCCATTGCTCTCCCATTTGTGTGCCAGGAAGGAGGAGAGAGCCCTTATGAGGGCAGCAGGGGGTCTAAGGTTAGGGTGAGTGGAGTGGCCCCTTTCTGAGAGGCCCAAACAAAGGGGAAGCACTGGCTTCATTGTGCCCCTCACCTCACCCCAACTTGAATGGCGGCCCTTGGCATGCAGCGCCTGGACCCTCTCCCCTGGTGACTCCACCTTTGGAGATATCCAAGTGATCACATGCAAGAAAAGGCCAGTTTGGGGCAGCAAGGACGTGGCCACAGGTGGCCTCCCAGCATCTTAGGGCGGGGGTAGTGTGTGAGGTGGGTCCTCCATGGGCACTGGCACCCTGCGCCCACCTGAAACCCTGGTGCCACCTGCTGGTTCTGCAGGACACCACATTGAGGGTCCTGTCACACCCCCAAGGAGCGACCCGCCCACACCCTGTCAAGAGCGGGAGAGGGCATAGGTGGCACAGAGGACAAAACAGCAGGGGAGAGGGACACCACCGCATTGGAGGGGCAGGTATTTTTGAGCCAATCCCGCCAAAATGTGAATGTGCCAATGACTGCTGGGCTGTGCTGGTCTCTAGGATCCCCTTGCAAAGCTCACTTCAAACTCCCCTGCGCCCACCTGTCATAGAGTCTTATTCTTGTGCACTTTATCTTGGAACCAAAACTGCCTACCCCACCCTGCCCCCTCCAGAAGCCAGGCAGAGACAGGCCTTTGCAGCCCCGCCCAGCCCCCACCCGCCCCACCCCTGTGGCCTCAGCATCTCATAACCTATTTGCTTTGTCTCCGGATGATTTCCTTCATGCTCCCAAATGCAAGTTCAGGTGAGCCAAGGGGGCTGCTCCCGTCGGGGTACAGTGCAAAGGATCCTTATAGCTCAGGCTGATGGTGACAGAAGGACAGCGGGCCATGCTGCTAAGCCCTGGTCTGGCTTTGGAAAACCACTTGGGGAGACTTTCGGCCAACACCCATGTCCCACTCTGCCGAGGCCAGAGGAAAGGAGGTCTGATGGGCAGACTGCTTCATGACTGGGGTAGAACAAAGACTGGACCCACAGTCAGGGTGGGGCTGGCCCAGCTGTGCAGGATACGGGCACACCTGCAGTGCTTCTCCAGCCTGCTATCCCTGCCTGACCCTCCTCTGGGCACTTCTAACATTCCCTCAGGCTCGGGGATGCCCTTCTCCCATTTCCACACAGCAGTCTGAGGGTGCAGGGACCAGAAACCCGAGATATCCAGCTGGTTACCGAGTCAAGCTGGCCGACAGAGTCCTGTCCATGTCCTGACTGTGAGCAGCCGTGTCCCATCTGGGCCTCTGGCCTGGGAGACGGTGCAGGTCCTGAGGAGGAGAAAGGCCAGGGGTCAGCTCCAAAGTGGTCTTCCAGCCTTGGGCCGGCCTAAGGCCCCAGCACACATGCCTCGGCCACTCCCAGGGGACTTTGCAGTGTCTTTTTAACCTTCTCAAAAAATTTCTCAATCTATGTGATTTACGTGATACTAATGAGCTGTGGACAATAAATGATGGATTTAAAGCATTGGGTGTGGCTTTGTGAGTTGCTAGGGGGAGCAGTGGGCGCAGAAACACAGTGAGGGAGGGAAGGGCTGCCCGACGATTTTGTAGGATGGCCCCGAGGAAGGTACAGACCCAGGTCCCAGTCCAGGCTGGGCCAGCTGGGATGCCCAGGGGCAAGGGAGAGGAAGGGACAAAGACGTGATGCCAAAGGGGTGAAACTGCAGAAAGACCCTGTGCAGAGCCCTTACTGAGTGCTTGCTAAGGTACCCACCCTGAGGAACTTGAGCAAATAGTGAATTTGGGTAGATTCCCATACTGTTTATGTCCATCAGGCGGGGAGGAGGGAGGGGACATTCCTGGACTGCCTGTGGCCAGGAGAGGCTTCCTAGGAAGGGAAGCTCTGAGCCAAGTGGAAAGGTGCTTGCTGTCTGCAGCATGCGTGGTGCCAGCTCTGGGAACTCTGCCCCTTCCTAACCCCCTTGGGGACTACAGAGAGGAGTGGGGGCAGAGGGTGGAAAGCCGCCATGGTTGGGGTCCGGCAGACCCCGGTTCCAGCCCCAGCTTGGCCCAGCATGACTGTGTGACTCCTGGCCAGTCACTTCCTTCCTTCATCCATCCGTTCGGTCGGTCAGATGTTCACTGAGCACCTTCTCCATGAGCGCTTTGCTAACTGAGCCTCGCTGTCCTTATCTGTAAATGCCACGAACAGCATCACTCACTAGACTGCTGTAAGGATGGAGAGACCAGGCGAGGAATGCACCGGGACTCTTCTCTCACTCCTCCCAGGTGCGGTGGGGCTGCCTCCCCTCCTGGACACTGGGCCTCCCTAGGAAGGTGGGAGAAGAGAAAGGGAGGGGGGAGGGGTCTGTTCTCAAAGTGATACTTGTGGGTCAGGGGTCTTCTGGTCTGGGGAAATTTCTTTGCTAAGAGCCCCACAGGCCACAGCCCCCATCCGGGCGGAAATCCTTGACTCTCAGGACAGACACAAATCCCTCCTGGGAGCTGTTTGTTGTTTTTAGCTGGTTTGGGGGCTCAGCTCCTGCCCAGCCCAGAGATCATTAACACTTCAGGAATGTGGCCTCCCCTGCCCCCATCCCCACCTGCCTGGCCCATAGGGCCTCCCCCCTCCTACTCAGGCAATGGTTAGAAGGAAAGGCAGAATGCTGGGGGATGAAGACAGTGGTGAGTGACTCTTTCCCGATGCCCCAGGGACCTGGCCTCATTTTCTGAATGGAGCCTCCCTTAGTCCCCTAGAACTGCTGCTGCTCCTGCCATCTCACCCACCCCCTGCCTCTGATTACCTCCCCAAACAGGAATGCCTCAGCCACTTCCCCCAAGGCCTAACCCCCACATGCCCACCCTCCCTGCAGTACCAGGTGGCTCTCAGGGCAGTGGCCTTTAGTGTTCATTCTCCATCCCTCCAGTCGAGGCTGCTGCTGGCAGCTTGTCTAAGGCCAGAGCCTGCCTCCTTCCCAACAAGGACACCTCTGCCACAGTGAGAATCTGAGGCCCCACCCCACTCCAGTTCCCTGGGCCTTATGGAAGGTGGAAAGAGGGAAAGAGGAGGGGGACAAATGGACAGGTAGAAAGCACCAGACCCGGTTTGGAAGATCTCAGGCAAATCCTGAGGAAGTGAGGGAAGGAGGCTGCCCCAGGCTACCTGTTGTTGAGTCTCCTCCTCTTCATATGTAAATACAGATGAGGGCCCTGACTTACTCTAGAGGTGAAAGGCCAGAAGCTCAGTGTTGTCAGAGAATAGACAGCAAGCATAGGAGAGGCAGTGTGGCCCACTGCCGCAGGGCCAAGGCCAGCTGGGAGCCGATGAAGGCTGGAGGTAGGGGGGTGGGTTCCTCTGGCTACATCTGGAGGACAGAGTACACCCCAGCGAGACTGCTGGGGAGACCAGGTAAGGGGCAGGGGCAACAGGGAGGACGGGTCCTGGGACAGGGAGGGTTTGCAGACAGAGAAGTGAAGAGATTCTGGACCGCTCAGCTCTGAGATTCAATCTGAGGAGGGTGGCAGAGAGGAGTCCAAGGTGATCCCAGGTTCTCGGCTCAGGAGGAGATGGTGGTGCCATTTCCCTGGACTGAAGAGCAGAGAAGGAAGAGCCAACCGGCAGGGAGAGCTGAGCGTGCTGGTGTGTGTTAGAGGTTCCTGTGAGACGTGAGGGGACAATTAGGCAAGCTCCTCTGGAGCTCAGGAGGCAGGAAGGGATTGGAAATATAGATTTGATGCTATCCATTTATAGAGAGCACCTGCAGCTGAAGGAACAGGATGTCACCAGGCGGAGTAGGTGGGGTGAGAAGGGGAAGACCTAGGATGGAGCCCTGAGGCTCTGAGGCCTCTGCCCACCTCTGAGGCCTGGGCAGAGACAGGAGGCCCCGAGGAAGCTCAGCCACAGATGGAGGTGTTAGGGGCTCAACGTGTCCTCCCCAAACTCATATGTTGCAGTCCCAATGCTCAGGACTGCCGAATGTGTCTGTACTTGGAGATAGGTCTTCAAAGAGGCAATTAAGTTAAAATGAGGTCGTTAGGGTAGGTTCTAATCCATTATGACTGGTGTCCTCATAAGAATAAGAGATTGGGACACAGACACGCTAGAGAAGGCCATGAGAACATGAAGTCTCTGTCCCCTAGCCAAGGAGAGAGGCCTCAGAAGAAACCCCTGACCTCCAACTAGCAGGCTCCAGAATTGTGAGAAGATAAAGTTCATTGCTGAAGCCACCCAGTCTGGGTACGTGGTTATGGCAGCCCTAGCACACTGGTCCGAGAGGCGAGAAGAAGACAAGGAGAGCGTAGTATCCCTGAGGACAAGAGATGAGAGTGCTTCATGTAGCAGGAGTTGCCCATTACTTAACTGGTGCTGAGAGTTGAAGAAGGCAAAGACCAAGGCGGGTCCCTCTAGGGACGTGGAGAGAATGGCCTCGGTGGAGTGTGGTCAGGGCAACAGCCAGATGTCCACAGGCTGAGGAAGCAGTAGGACTCCCACTGGCTGCCAGCAGAGGTAATTCCTTAATGAAGTTTGGCTGTGAGTTGGTCAGGGAAAGAGCAATGGCACGACATGACATGGAGCTGAGGGGGAGCTGAGAAGGGAGACTCTTGAGCAAGAGCCAGAAGAGACGGTGATGGAAGGAAAGGGGAAGAACAACCCAAAACTGAGCACCCTGCAGAATCTGGAGCCCAGGTAGGGGGTGGGGGTATTGGGGGGAGGGTCCTCTTGGGCAAGAAGGAAAGAAAGGGGCAGGTGGTAGCAGGGGGCAGGAGAAGGGGAAGGGCTAGATACAGGCAGCGTGGGGTTGAGAGTGAAAGTCAAGGCTGAAGCTGCTTCCCCTACCCCCAGCCCACATCTGCTCTGCACCCCTCTCCACCTGCTCTCTGCACCTGGAGGCTGCCTCATGTGCACTTGCTTTCAGGCTTCCACCACTGGGAGTCACCAGCAAGATGATGGAGGCCTGGAGAAGAGGATTTATCATGGGCCTCTCTCTACTGAAGGCCGCAGCTCCTGTCTTGGGCCCTCTCCCAATGGCTGTCTTCTCCAGGCTCCGGCAACTGCTCCTGACTCTTGCCTCTTCAGGCCTCAGGGCCATACGGACTCCCTCCTCATTGTCACTGGCCCTGGAGTACTGCAACACCCCTCATGGGTTTCCCAAAACATGTTCATTGTTCCTGTATTGAACTCTCCCCGAAGTTCCCTGTCTGAAGGTTCCATCTGACTGTTGCAAAGTGTCCACTGGGGCGAGGTCTCAGCTAAGGCTGGGACCCCACATGTTGAGGAGTGCCATCCCGAACGCTTGCCTGATGTCCTCATGGACTCAACTGTAAGGGCAGGTGGCACAGCGGGTCCAGCAGGCTTGTGATTTTCCCAGGCAGGTGAAACCAAGGATGAGTGGAACAGGGCATATTGGAGAGGGAGCAGAGGAGCCGTGGCCAGAAGGGCCCCAAAAGGTCCCACGCTGATGTAGAGGGAAAGGTGAGCAAGTGAGCGGGAAGAGCTTGTGGCCTGACAGCCAAGGACATCTGGATGCTCGACTGGGAGAAGGCCCACTTCTGGGCTCTGATAGGCCCTGAGAGACGGTGGTGGGGAGAGGAGCGAAAGAGAGGCTGGGGTGCTGGGTGGGTTGTCCATGTAGACCCCCAGGTCTGGGGTGCAGGAAGATCGCAAGCTGGTAGCCATGGTCTTTGACAAATGAGGGAGTGTGTCTGGGACGTGCAGTCCCCCAAGGTACACACGCACAACCACATGCATGCACAGCCGTACACCCACCCACACCCACACAGTCACACGCACGCACGCCCACAGCCCTCCCAGACACTCCAGCACCCTCACATGCACTCACCCTCACACACCCCCCAGACAGCAGATGGGGCGCTCGGGTAATTGGTTAAACCTGTTCCGATGTCTGGCTCCGCCTTGGCAGCGCCCGTCTGACAGGAAAGCTGGCTGGGCCTGCACCGCTCAGCCTGCTGGCCACCCGTCCCTCCCCTCCCCTGCACGGCTGCCCTGGAGCAGGGGCTTCGGGAGAGCCCTGTGGGCCCTGCCGGCTCCTGCCCCGGCAGAGCCCAGTTCACCTGGTGACAACTCCCCGACACCCCACGGGAAACAATCACCGCACCTGTGAGCAGTGTTGGCGCAAGCCAAGTGCAGAGATGCTACGAGCACAGGCCATGCTGCTGCGAAGGCCATGGGGACTGGTTCTGGAAAGTTCCATGGGCAAGATGTGTAAAGATGAGTCCCTGAAGGTGAGGCACGTGGATTAGGCCGTGACAGTTAAGAAGGCCCCTGCGTTCCCCCTACTTTGGCAGCGTGCCATTTGGTGTCCTACAGGTGCTCAGAATACCTCTGCCCAGGCGAGTCTGCAGGGCCCAGGAGGCCAGCCCAGCAACAGGGATGGCAGACCAGGAGCTCTCGGGGAAGGCCTGGCCGGGCAGCCCCCACATGCTGAGGACACTGGCAGGCCAGTGTCCACTGTCCTTGCCCCAGCAGGGCCCTGCTCTCCAGGTGGGAGGAGCACAGGGGGAGGGAAGGGAGCAGCAGTCCTTGTCTTCTTCCCTTCTCGGCTGCATCTGTGTCTCTTCGAGAGAGACTTTGGTTTGTTCCCTGGAGAGGGCCCAAAAACTCCCAAATTAGCAAACCTGGCAAGCCCACAGCTCAGAAAATAGTTCATCCTGATTCCATGTTTTTCAGGCTCACAGAAGCCTTTATTAATGAAGTCACAACACCAATATTTACCGTCTGCGGGGAGAGGCACAACATGGGGGATGGATGGGACTGCAGCAGGGACTCCCCACCCCCCCTCGCAGGCCTGGCCTAGGAAGATTGGCAGGTTTCCTTGGGTCCTTTCCAGCCCTGTATTTGGATGACAGGGGGTGCTCGGCTGTGATCTTCCGGGACCCCCACCCCCCACCAAATGAGACAGGATCTCAAGAGGAAAGGCTGTCACCCCTCTGCCCCCCACCGGGGCCTACAGGACGACTCTTCCTCTCACCCTCACCCCACCTGTGCGAACACGTGAGTCACCGTGCGGCTTGACCTGGACTTATGCAGGTTGGGAGTTTCAAGGTGTGAGGGATGCATTCCCGGTTGGTGGAGGGGGAGGGGCACTGGGATGGGACGAAGCCCTTTGGTTTCTAGCATTGACTGGACACAAGTGAGGTGAGCAGAGAGTAGGGAGAGATGCTGAGAGTCTCCGCAGGACTTGGGTCTATGTTCCCAGCAGAAGGACCTTGTGTGCTTGGATCCCTGCATGTGGCCCAGGCAACAAGGCTGGACCTTTGACATCTTTCCGATGAGTTCAGCACGCTCAAGCACCTGCGGCGTGCTCCCCGGAATTCTAGATGGGAAGAACAGCATCAGCAAAGGCACAGCACAGGGAAAAGCAGTGGCTCACTCAGGGACAGGGATGGGCGGGACAGAAGAAGCAGAGGGCAGCGGGAGCAAGGCCGGAGAGGTCAAGGGTGGGAAAGAGTGAGGGGCTTGGGAAAGGGTAACTCCATCCTATTTATGGAGGGCCTTCTTTGATGTGGGCCTCATCCTTGACGTTTGCAGAAGCCTCCTTATGTCCCCACTCCCCACAAAGGAGCAGACCCAGGCTGAGCGGGTGGCAGGGGGAACTGGGGTGCTGCACAGGGGTGGGGGTGTTGAGAAGCTGGTCTCAATTCAACAGACTAGATGGGAATGGATGGGACTGGGGAGGAGGAAGGAAGCTTGAGGAAGCTTCCCGGGTTTCCTCTACCTCGGGAAAAAGTATACGTGGCTAATGCTGTGTGCCAAGGTGGGCAGTCCTGAAGAAGAACAGGGGCTGAGTCCAGCTGTGCACCTGCTGGGTGTGAGGTGCTGAGGGCGTGAGGTGCTGAGGGCCCGAGGTGCAGCAGGCGCGGGCTTGGTGGGTCTGCAGCGCGGGGGAAGTCGGCTAAAGACACAGAGTGGGGAGCCAAAGAGTGGATGTGAACCCTCGGGCAGAGGACACGATGAGGATGAAGGAGGAGCAAGGACTGACCCTGGACTGGACAGAGGGAATGAGGCATAGATAAAACTGAGACAAACTCAGAGGGGCCGGGGGAGACATGTCAGAAATGTACCAAAGTGAAGGCAGAGGGGGCAGGGGAGTGAGGGAGGGTGTGGCCGCAGACCAGAAAGCAGGTGAACACAGAGGCAGATGGGAGGTGGCTGAATTCAGCCACAAGGGGGTGGCCAGTGACTGTGGTTGGTGGCTGCCATTAGCATCAGCAGAGTGGTGGAGCAGAGGCCAAAGAGCAGAGGGTTAGGGAGCACGTGGGAGGGAAGAAGCCGGGACAGGTCCGGAATGTCATAAGGGAAAGACTTTTAGGAAAGCAGGAGGCAGGAAACCTTAATACATGACAAGAAAGACAAATGGACAGACTGAAGGGCAGATGAACTAAAGGCCCACTCAGTGGGCCCTGCTTTGTAGCTCTTTCTCTGGCTGGGAAGGCCCTGAGTCCCCGGGGACTGGTTGCAGGCTCAGCCTCAAGCCCTGTCTCTGAAGCTTCAAGCTGCCCAGGGGTTCTCCAAGGACAGATAAGCATCCTGGTGGGGCCAGGACTTAGGGCTAGGACTGCTAGCCTTTGTGAATGGTGTCCCCTCCACCCAGCCCCAGTGCTCCCCTTTCCTCTGGTTTCTCCACAACTGGGGGAGCCCCAGAGTCCCTAAGAAAAGGGAAGCTCTCCCCCCATCTCCTGTTGAACTACCTGGGCCTGATTCCCACCCCACAATATGTTTGGAAAGACGTGGGCTTAGCCTCCCTTGAGACACAGGCTGTCCTTCCCTGTGTCTGGCCTCAGTTTCTCCTGCTGCAGAGCTGGAGCTGGAGACCAGGGACCCCCAACAAAGAAGAGGAGTAAATAAATTGCCCTTGCCCTACCCGGTGCCCCACCCCAGGCTCCCAGGCCCTGAACACGATCGCTCTCCCAGCCCCCACTGGCTGCTCCAGCAGGAATCCACCACCCCAGGCTCCCAGGCTCTGGGGCTGGAGCCAGGAATACACCACCCCAGGCTCCCAGGCTCTGGGGCTGGAGCTGGCTGCCCGTGTCATTAAGAGAGAGACTTTTATTATTCCCATAGGGAAGGGAGACACAAGGGGTCACTAAGAACTACAGTGGGTGCCTGGAAAATAAATTAAAACAGGAACGCATCAAAACAAAAAGGAGATAAGAGAAATGGAGAGTGGCTGGGAGGCTGCAGTGATGGCGGCCCGCCCAGGCAGGCAGGCTCTCCAAGGAGAAGGCCGAGTGGTCCCAGGCCTCAGCCAGCCCATTTCTTGTCCCTCTGTCAGTGGCGGCCCCAGGCTCCAAGCCCTGCGGGGCAGTGACTCCAGGCCTCCCCGAAGCCTGGCCAGGGAGTGGCCAGAGTCCAGCTTGGGCCCACCCAGGGGCCTGGCCAGCAGCAAGCAGCACTCTGCTCTCATGGGTTGTGGTTGCCCACCCTAGTCATTGGAGGTGACATCGATATCCTCCCCGTTGGCCTGCTTCGTGGCGATGCGCCACCGGTTGATGTGGTGGGAGCCCTTCTTCTTCTGCTCGGACTCAGGCCCTTCCTCCTCCAGCTTCTGCCGTTTGTACTTTGTCCTCCGGTTCTGGAACCACACCTTCACCTGGGCCGGGGAGGGAGGGGGCACAGAAGAGAAACACTCAGGAGGCCCCCAAGCAGCCACTGGGGCCTCAGTACTCAGGCTGAGCTGGAGCCAGATGGGGAAACTGAGGCTACAGAGGGTCAGGGCTCCCAGGCCAGGTTCCTCTCCTCTGGCCAGCTGCCACCTGATGGGACTGGAGGACTGCTGTTCCACATGCAAATGAGGTGGGGCAGGAGGAAGACACAGGGGGCCAGAGAGAAGGGTGCTTCTCCTGTCCCTCTCAAACAAAGGGTCCCAGAGCTGCTGGGCATCCTAGTTCCTGTGGATACAGCACAGCAAAGGTGAGAAGCTCAGGCTCTGGGAGCCAGCAGACCCGGGTCTCCACTGCTTTCTAGGGAAGAGATAATGATTGCTCCTTCACAGGGCTGATGTGAGCAGCAAATGAGAGAACACGTGACCCATTGCATGAGTTCTGATGAGCTCCCAGAGGACCTAAAGGGGACACCAACTCCTGAGCCGGCCCCATGCTCTTTGCCATACAAAGAATCAGGGCGGACAAGGCTTCATAACCAGGAGGTGTTGTCCACCCCGAGAGCAGTGCCTGGGACGGCCAGACCATGCCCAGGTCCACGGAACCCACTGCTGGAGGCTCTGATGTCACACGCTGTGTCAGTGTCCTTTATCAGGGGACCCTTTCTTAGCAACCTGATGTGAAATTCCCCTCTCCCACCTCAGAGGTGGAGCTGTACAGGCTGGGCAGATGGAGGGTCCCATCCCTCAGGTGCCAGCTCCTCAGGACAGTCTGAAATCCACCAAGAGGCCTCGTTCTCCTTGGACAGACAAGGACGGGAAGGAGCAGGTCTGAGGCCCCACCCGAGGACAGTATTCTGCCCTTCAGGGACAGCTCTGGACCTTCTGTCCCCACAATATTGGCTCCATCCAGATGTGGGAACCGGACATACAAGAAACAGTCAAGCTCCTCTTTGAACACAGTAACACCCACCCCCCTACACACACACACACACACACACACACACACACACACACACACACACACGTCTGCATCTGGCAGTGAGAGCCCTGACAAGATGAGGGGTGGTGTTCAAACAGAGATAGGACACGCGTCCTCCGTGATGGGGAGGAATAGAGAGGAGGTGCATGTCCACAATTCTAAGCCCAGCTCCTCCAGAAAGCCTCCCCAGACTTAGTCCCTTTTCTAAGCATCCATCCCTCTCTTCTCCTGCCACCTTCAGCATTTGCTCAGTACTCAAGACACAGCTCTTAACGTCCTCCCATGCATGGTCTGGGAGGCTCATCCTGGCTCCCTAAGTGGCCTTAATGCTTGTGGACTGTCACCTCCACCTGCCTACATGGTTCCTTACTTGGCCTTTCGGAGTTGGACCACACCCAAACTACCTTTAGAGCTGGCAGGAGGAGCCTGGGTGCTGATCCTGGGCTAAGTCCCTCATTCATAGGAGAAATGTTTCTTGGGACCCTTGAAGTTTCTTGGGCTCTTGCTCCAGAGGGCCCCTGGAGGAGGTGAGGCAGACAGGGCAGGGTTACAAGGCATGGATGGTTTCCTGGAAATTACAACACATTTAAAAGCAAGTAGGTGCTGCCAACTGCAGCTGTGCAGAGGGCATGTGGCAAGGCTGTGGCTGTGGACTGCTAGGGCGCACCTTGTTCTTGGCAGCGGCAATGATGATGAGAGGAGATCCTTAACCCCTGAGCAGGGCTGATGGCAATTCCTTGGAGAGTGTCCAGTCCAGCCCCTACTCCCAGAGATGAGGGAAAGCACGGGGCTTTGCCACAAGGCCATGCAGTGGCAGCCAGAAGCAGCCCTGACATCTGGACCCTACGGGTGGTTTTATGCCAGGACATGCCACCCTCATATGCCCTTTCCAGATACTCCTCTCTGTCCTCTCCATGGAGCCCAGCCACCCCAGGGCTCCTCTTCATGGTCCCTCCTTCCTGGGGCTTTTGCTGTGCCTTCTGCTCTGCGCCTTGATTTTAGAGCGCTAGGGTGGAGAAGTGGGTAGCCGGTGCTCAGTGCTCACAGAGCAGCCAGCAGGAGACAGGAAAACTGGCCCAGGAAGAGGGGGGTTGCCAGGCCTCGATGGGGAGAGTAAAGGTAAGGAGGTTCTTCCCTCATTTCCAGGGCAGTGTTCAAGCCCATAACCTGAGTCTCACCTCAGGTAGGAGGGGAGATGCTCTGGGCATGGGGCTCTGGATTCCATGCCCACCTATCTTTGGGCACAGGGCTGCCTGGGCCCTGGGTGGTTCTCAGCACAACCATTTGGCAGCCAGCCCAGCCCCTGCCCCCAACACTGGAGCGTGCTGTGACTATGCCAGCCAGTGGGTGGGTGAGCTCACCCTGCCTCCTGTGCATGACTCAGGGCTGGGGCGTTATTCCTGAGGAGCCCAAGCGGGCTGGCCGAGGACGATCACCAAGTGATGGTGGCAACACTAGAGACAGAGTTCCCCTTCCTACTCCTTTCTCCCTCCCACACATACTCCCAAATCTGCAAAGGAGACTGACAATCACATTGGCCTCTAGTAGGATGGACCTAGCATGCTGCCCTCATCCAACAACACTGGCCAAAGAGGAAAGTTGTGATTGTGGGCCAGGCGAGGTGGCTCACTCCTGTAATCTAGCACTCTGGAGGCCGAGGCAGGGATTGCTCGGGTCAGGAGTTCGAAACCAGCTGAGCAAGAGTGAGACCCCGTCTCTACTATAAATAAGAATATTATTGGCCAACTTATATTAGAGAAAAAATTAGCCGGGCATGGTGGCGCATGCCTGTAGTCCCAGCTACTCAGGAGGCTGAGGCAGTAGGATCACTTGAGCCCAGGAGTTTGAGGTTGCTGTGAGCTAGGCTGATGCCACGGCACTCACTCTAGCCTGGGCAACAAAGCCAGACTCTGTCTCAAAAAAAAAAAAAAGAAGAAAGAAAGAAAGAAAGAAAGTTGTGATTGTGAACTTCAAGGACAGGGTATGTTTTCAGGCCAGGGGCAGCTTCCTGGCACACCCAAGTGAAAGGTGATTCTGAATGTTTTCTCCGTGAAAAATACTGAGGTCAAGGAGGCAGCTCTCTAGAAACAAGGACGTAAACCCTCTCACTAGGCAGCCTGGCTATCTTCCGGAGAACAGCCTTGGGCTGAGTGTCCAGATGCTGTTTACAAAGACTGTAATAATGGGGATGCTTATGACTTCATAATATTAGTGAAAAAGCCAGGACGCGCAGTGTTGGCACAGTGTGATCACAACCACAGAAAAACAAAATCTATGCACAGGGAAAAAAGACTAGAAGGAAATGTACCCAAAGTACGGGTAACTTTTCTTTAATATATTACTGATAATGATAGTTTTTTGACTTGGAAAGAGAAAAGGAACTGGACTCTGAGTGTAGGAGGAGATAAGAGTGACACTCCATGACCTCCCTAACCCAGCCAGGCAACTCTGGGGTCATCCCAGAGCCTCTTCCCTAGATGACAGAGGACCTAGAAAGGAACCAGGTCACGTAGCGTAACTTGGGAGCCAGCTGTAGGAGGCTGTAGCTACTCTGCACATGCCTCCCCACACCAACACACTACTCACCTCTCTCTAAGCCCCAAAGGCACAGATGAGGTGTTGACTGGAGGACCCCCTCACCTAACCCTGACCCTTCTGGGTGTGGGGAGAGGTCCCTTATGTTTTCCCAAGTCCTCACATCACTGAATGTCCCTCAGTTTCTCAGAGAAGCCAGATCCTTCCAAGGCTCTCCACTCTCCTGAGCCCCCCAACCTGGAATACTCTCCTTAGCTTTCAAGACCCTGCTCAGATGGCCCCAGATGGGACCTGCCCCATCACTTGTCTCAGCACAGTGACCCCATATGTGCACTGACTTATTTGTTCACATCTGCCCCCTCCCCAGACTGTGATACTCTGGAGAACCAAAGTGGTGTGTTATTCGGTTTTGGAGTCCCAGCGCACAGACCAGAGGACATGTTCCATGTACAGTCATCCAGCCGAGCAGAGGTGATGTGCTAGTGAATGAAGGCATGCATGTATTAATGCAAGAATGAATGGATAAATGAACTAACAAGCAAACTACAATTCCGGCCAATATTTCACAGCTAATCATACTGTGCTTTTGAATAATCTATTTTGAATGAATGAGGTCTGGATTCCTTCTTTTTCACCACTCTCCAAGTGCAGTCCAGCGCAAATGGAAAGGTCTGGCTCCAGCACCCTGCATACTTTCAAGTCAATATCTGTCCTGTCCTCCAAGAGTTCAAATATCCCTATCAAAGTCTGGTAACTCTGACATAAGAAGTTCCTCCTTATGTCCTGCTGTTACCTCTTCTGCTTTAATTTAAGTGTATCCTCCTATTCTGTCATTCCCTGACATAGACAAAGTCCTTAGAACAGACAGCAGCTTAGAGACATCAATCAAGTCATCCCTCAGCCTACTTTCCTCCCAGCCCTCTCCCCTGGGGATCCATTCCTACTGTTTCATCATGTGAGCTCTTCCCACTCCCAGGGTCAAGCCCAATGCCATGCTCAGCTCAACTCTTGCCCCAGGAAGCTGAGGTCACCTCCAGCTCCCCACCAACCATGGCCCTAACTCTTCCTAAGCCATCAGCTCACCTTGGACCCTCACCCTCACTCTCAGGGAGATATCACAAAATTCACCTGCCTCCCACCCCAGGACCATACTCCTATCCCAGCTTCTCACAGAACCACTCCAATACCCCTCATCTCCTCCTCACCCCACCAGACAGGACTCCTGGGACATCAGAGATGCAGAAGTTCTTGGAGCCAAGTTGAGACTTAGAGAAGGGATATGTGCATCCCAGAACACACAGTGAGCAAGTAACAAAGATCCCTTGATTTTGCACTAAAATTCTAGTCACTTGGATATCTCCTCTCATCCATCCCTCCAAGAGCAGAGTGAGAAGAGAATCCCCCCCCCAGAAGCCTCCTTTCCATGCCTCTGGGGGGAAAAAACCCATGGATGGGTGACCATACATTCTTGCCTCCCAAGACCTCCCTCCCTGCTCTCAGGCTGCAAACTGTGGCTGGACTTGACAGCTCCTGCTCTGTCTTAATCTGCCTACCTCAAACCCTCTCCTTCCCTCCAACCTAGAATCCTAGGCATCCCTCCAAACCTTCCAGGTCTGAGGTCTCCTGGGAGCCCTCTGCCCAAGCAGCCCACCTCAGCCCACAGCAGTGACCTCAAGGGGACTCCAGTCACTTATCTTGTGCATGTCCTGCAAGTGTGCAAGCTTTGCATTTAGCCTTCACCACTAAATGAGGAATCTCCAAAGGGTAAGGACCACATTTCTGTGCCCTTTTCCCTTACAGCTCAGCTAACCTCAAGGCCAGGCAAGGTCAAGAAGCACCTTCTGATCTGTTCTGAGCAGGAGGGGCAGTTAGAAACACTGACCAATCAATCAGCCTGAAGCAACCATATGATTTCTCTCACCACCACCACGCCCAGAAACCAATGCCCCCACACACACATAAACACACACACAGAGAAGTATGCAAGCTGAACTCCATCCATGTCATGCGACTGCCTAATGGCATCTAACATGTGCCTATGATATCACCTGACCTTCGGGCATCAACCACACTAAGCCCATATGTGCCGGACATTGTGGGCACACACGTTACACATACCCATTATACATATTCATTGCACTTGAGGCTCAGATCTGAGCCAGGCCCAGATCTACCTAACCAGCCACCAGGACTGAAGCTTAGATAGGCGCCTTCCTGGTCAAACTCCAAGGCTGTACCATACCAGTGAGGAACAAATAACTAGTACCAGAAGGGAGAACCCAGGGCCCCTCCCTCCACGTCCTAGAGTGACCCACTGGCCATCCCAGCACAAATACCCCACTCCCTACTAAACACACAGCCCTAGGCCAACAAAGTAGCTCAGGTTGCACACCTCCCAGCACCTCATGCTGAAGCTTAGGGAGTACAGAGACCACTCAGCTATGGATTAAGAGCTCACCCACGCACTGATCTGCTTAACCCTCCCTGAAATTTTATCTGTAGACTGGTGCTTGCATCATCTGAATCAATAATCAGCTGTGAAAGTGCAAGGGAAAGATAGAAGGAGAGGGACAAAGAGAGAGCAGTGAAAGCAGAGAGCAAGGGGGATGACTGATAACATTAACATTTGTATGGGTGGAATCAAGAGAAATTTGCCCATTCATTTGATACATGTTTACTGAGCATCTACTTCATTCTGGGCACTGAGGTGGGCCCTGGGAGAAATAGACAGGCATGGCCTCTGCCTTCCAGAGCTAAGATTCTCAGGCCTGTTATTCACCAGAATTGCCCAGAGAGCTGTTCTTCAAAACTCTTTTCTGGACCCCATCTTGTACTTCCTAAGAGAATCTCCTGGGGAAATCCTGGAATCTGTATATGAAGATCTCCCTGAGAGATGGGTGCAGCTGGTCTATCAATTGATGTCTGGACATGGCAGATGATTAAATGAATAATAACAGTAAAGTTCAATGCATCTTGTGATAGGTAGGAGATATACTATGAGCTCAGAGAGCATGAAGGATGGATTATACAGAAACACAGAGAAATAGAATGTAGATGAGCCACAGAAACTCAGGACTAGAAAGAACCCTGGAATTCATGTCATTCGATCTCACAGATACAGTAACTGATGTCCCGAGAAAAAACAAAGCTACAGCCAATAAGATAACAGATAACCATTAGCAGACATATGAATATACTATCTGTCGGTTGCTAAATAGCTCTATAGAGGTGGAAGTTTGAGATGAATGGTGGACACACAGAAGATAAATAGATGATAAAGAGTTAATCAACAGATGGGTAAATAGGAGTTATTGTTAAGAAGAAGAACATATAATTAATAGAAAACAGGAACTATAAATTAACCAGTTTGGGGGAGGCAGTTTAATGAGAGCAGACAGAAGTAAAGCTAGCTACAAAACAGCTATCTGTGAGGGACACATTGGAGAGCTCTGAGAGACAAATGTAGATACCCACAGTAGAAATATTAATACATGCTACGGGGCTAATGGGTATAATTGATGCTTGACAAATAGCTGACAGCTGGAAATGACAGGTAAGCTTGCCTGGTAAATACTGAGAAGTGGATATTTAGTTAATTATATGGGTGCAAGTGATAAGTTATGAGGGCAACAGAAAGACAAATCTGATGATGGAAACTGGGTGTGGCAGAAAGAACACTGGACTAAGAGGACACCCAGGTTGGGATCTTATTATACCACTAACTTAACGTATTGCTTTAAACAAAGGGAACAAAGGGACTGGGGATGGGAATTAATATTATTTGAGTCCATATTAGGTGCCTTCTAATTCATAAACAACCTATTTTCTGGATGAGGAAACCAGAGCTCAGAAAGGTTGAGTAACTTGCCAGGGTCACACAATCAGCAGGGAAGCAGGTATTTGAAATCACATTTGCCTGAGTCCATCTCTCTCCCTGCCTGGAAAGACAGTCGCCACTGGAGGTTCTTCAGGCTCAAACCTCCCTTAGTTCTTTTTGCCGTTATGTTCCATATGCAAAAAGCAGCTCATTTACAGACGGAACAAGATTAGCTCTGAGTTTTCATAGTTAATGAAACTGGATACATTACATTATTCTATGTGGTTTTGTTTTAAATATATGTTTGAAACATCTCATAATAAAAATGAAAGAAACAATCAGTCCGTTTACTAACTGGCATTGTTAGGAACAAATATTGACAGGCAGCTACATTCAGTTAGAAAGAAAGTTAATTAAAAATGCTCTCGCTGAGCTAAAAAATGGAAAGTTTAAAAACAATGACATTATTTCAACAAGTGTTAATCTGTGGGTGGTGGGATTATAAACCGTTTTTGTTTTCTTACACTTCTGAAATTGAAATTTAATAAATATTACTTTTTAAATGAAGTTAATTATAAACACCATTCTTAAATTGACACCTTGTTTTAAACAATAATTTTAAAACAGTTTGCCAGGAGGGAAAAGGGGTGCTATTTTACTAATTTATTTTTTTAAACGTATCTTTCTTTAAAACGTTTTTAAAATTAGCTCTGTTGTTTTGTAAGCTTTTTCTCTGCAGCTAGAACAGCCCAGCTAGCAAATCTGAAGACGCAGGGGTCCTGCCGCACAGCCAGGAGCAATGCGTTGATTGTTAAGTGGGCATCTGACAGATATGACTGCCATAGATGACAAAATGGGACAGGAGGAGAGAGCGAGGTGGGCCACAGGGAGCTGGGGATGCAGTTGGGGTCTGGCCCTCACCTGGCCCCCTTCCTACCTCGCTGCTAATGGGAGGCCCAGGCCGCCCCCCAAGCCGGGCGCCTTCTCACGGCCTGGGACTGGTGAGGGGGGACGGTGGTATAGCAGGGGCGAGACCAGGAGGGAAGGGGAGCGGAAGGTGAAATGTCAGCCGGATGGGAGCTACTGGGCGGTGTAAATCCGGGAGCTGGCAGAACGCAAGGCCCATCCAGACGCTGAAATCCGCCTCCAGGGCAGCAGCTGGGCGGAGGGTCGCTCAGCTACTCCAACACGCCCCGCTGGCCCCGCTGGACCAAAAGCTTAGGCAGCGCTTCCGGGAAGCATTTATTTAAGGCAAAGTCTTTACTTACAATGAACCAAAATCTGCCACCCTATAACTTTCATCTAAATCTTTAAATTTTTTTCTTAAATTAATTATCAATTACAAAAATACTACATGGTAATTATAATTTCACCCGGTTCAAACCCTGACACCATTGTGATGTATTGCATCCCTACTCGACAGCCCTTCCAGTGACTGAGAGCAGCCCCTGGTGCCCAGAGCCCATTTTCCCACCATGCCCAGGCACCTCGGGTGCTCCGCGCGCGCACCATGGTTTCCCGAGCGCCTCCAGTCCGACGTCGCCAGGATGGGTGCCAACCTCAGACCCCAAGCAGGGGCTGGCCCTTCCCTAGCTAAGCCCCTCTGCTTCTGACGTTGATAGCCCGAGGACACCTGGGCTTTCTCCCCGCACGACACAGGCGGACACAGGCTGGAGGGCAGCCGAGGCCTCTGCCCGCTCTGCCCAGGAACAGCTGCGATGACAGTGCGGGGAAGGCCAGGACACCCGACGGGACTGGGCGCGCCGCAGCACAGTGGCGAGGGAGGGCTGCAGGAATCCCAGCTGAGACCGGCTCCAGCGGACAGGGCGCTGCCCCGCGCTGTCCGCTCCCAAGGAGGCCAGCTGCCTCCAGGTAAGCTCGTCCCCTCCTGAAGGGATTTAGGAGCCAGATTTAGGATAGAGTTTGTATTTACTCTGCCTCCTGCTGGGTCCTTAGTGGCTTGACAAAAGTGCTGCGGCCTCAGCAGGCTAAACACCACGGGAGGGAAGGGGCTCTAACTACCGGCTTCGCCGAGCCCGCGGGAAGTTGGGAACTTCTGGAACCTGGCGGGAGAGAACTCGGAGCTGGGCTGGGGGCAGGCTCGGGGCCGCTCCCGCACGCGTCCGCCCTCTCCTACGGCGGGCTCGGGGTGATTATTACCTGCGTCTCCGAGAGGCTGAGGCTGCCGGCCAGCTGCTTCCGCTCGGCGCCCACCACGTAGTGGTTCTTCTCGAAGGCGCGCTCCAGCCGCAGCAGCTGCGAGGGCGAGAAGGCCGTGCGGATCCGCTTGGGCTTGCGAGCGAAGGGGCCGTGCAGAAGCAGCCCGTCCTGGGGCACGTCGCTCGCTGCGGCCCCGCCACCGATGGCAACACACGCAGGTACAGACAGAGAGAAGGGGCGCAGTGAGCTGCAGCCGGGCCAAGGCCGGCCTCCTGCCCTCCTCCTGCACGCCCTGCACTCTGCCACCCTCTCCATTCCTTGACACCCTCCACACTTCTCCCCGTGCCCTTTTGCCACCGTTCCCTAAGTCCACCCTGCTCCCCAACACCTCCCCACACTCTGAGAGCTGCCCTGCTGGGAATCACAGCGCCAGCTCCGAGGATCACTCTGTTGGGCCCAGAGGTGGGCCCAGGCCTGGTGAGGAGCCAACCGGCCCGAAATCAACACTGCCAGAAGCCTCTGAAGAGGCCAAGGTGTGGCAAAAGTCCCTTGGCTCCCTTAATCTCCCTATCCCAGAGGCAATGCCCCCACCACAGGCCCCAGATCAGCTTTTAACTAACAGATTGGAAGCATCTCCTTCAAGGAGGACCGAAAGTAGAGGCAAAGCTGAGTGTCAGGAAGGTGGTAAGGGGAGCAGTGGGGCTGCAAGGCACAGCCTTACCAAACTCAGATTCAGGAACTGGAAGATTCCCCAGGAGCAATCCCTTTACACCTGCTTAAACCAGTCTTGCATCTAAATGCTTAGAGTACTAACCCATTGAAAACTCCTGCCAACAGGCCCAGCTCTACCTTGCAAGAGGTAAAAATAGGCCAGTAGCTAGGTCAATAGTCCAGGTAGCAGCCAGAGGTCTAAAGTCAGGCTACATCTTCCCCCTTCCCCACCTCTCTCTCCCAGGCCTTGGCTGTCTGGAGACCCAACTGCTTGGGTACCCCACCACCACCTTCAGGTGACTCTAACTGCTCTCTCTAGTGGGAAAAGGCCCTGTTTCATCCCTGAATAGTTCCATGCTAAAGAAATATGTGTATAAATATCTAGATGTCATCTATCTCTCCAATATATAGAGATATGTTGGTTTCTGCATGGACATGTGTAAATATATCTTCCAACCTCCCTACTGTCTTTTCCTCCCATCTACTGTACAGGATTTTCAGAGTGTGACTGTCCCTTAGTGAATGATGGCCATGATGGGGACTCAGCTACCATATGCAGGAGTAGGGGCTAACACCAGACTGGATGAGGCTGGGTAAGAGGGGGCAGGTAAGGAACTACAAAAGCCAAAACAAGCTTCCACCCACAACCCTAGTCTCAAAGACTCCCCCCCCCACTAGGCCCTCATGCAATCTCTGGCTTAGTTGCACATGCTAAAACTCGAAACAGGCCCTGACAACATCACCCATGGATTCTCATGCAAGGGCACATAACAGTCCCCCCTGACCACCGACAACACAGAGCCTTAGATGGAATGTTTTGACAGAATTAACTGTTGAGATTGACTGATCCAATTAATTCTTTCAGAGATGGTCACTGGTTTGACTCAATTTCTGACCTGATGTTTTGCTCTTAAGACAATCATCTGGATAATTCAGTTGAGATCTCCCATCTCTGAAAACATCTATTAAGTGGAACAAAAGCACACAATTGAGATGCTGTTGCTTAAGCTCTAAGATACTTAAGTTCTGTTCTTGTCCCTTTACTTGTGGAAACTGCTTGACTGTACTTGCTCCAAGTCTCTGGGCTTTGAATACCTACATGGGCCAACTTTACTGATGGCATTTCTGAGGAACAGGGTTGCCTAGGATTGAGGGGCTAAAGCCTGGTTGGAGGCAAGTCAGTAACCTCCAGTCACCTTATCCATTTCAAGTGGCTGGATCTGTGCTGCCAAAAAAGGGATAACATCACAGGGAGATGGAAGAGGGACGGCCTGCCCACTTGGTCATTTGAGGTGGGAGAAGGCCCAGGGCCCTCAGGCTTGACTGAAGGAAAAGAAGTTTAACTCGGTGTGGTAGAAAGGATAGATTTTCAGGGGAGGTGGTCTGGCACAGAGGGGTAAATGGCAGATAAATGAAGAGCCTGTTCCAGGGGGGAACAGGAGGAATGAAGTCTTTGGGGTAGGGGCCAGTGTGGTAGGCCAGGGAAAGGTGGGTGGAAAGCAAATGCTTATTGATGGTGTTAAAATAAATTGCTTCGAAAACAACATCATCATTTGGAGACTTGGTGAAGCTCCAACAGTGGTTTCCTCTGGACAAATGAACCGGAGGGATAGAGAAAGCTAATCCATCCTAGCATTCCCAGGGTTTGGCCTCAGCTGCCCACCTGCCTGGCCCAACCTGGTCAAAACTGTGGTTGCAGTGTGGAAAGGCCCCATAGGTGTGTGTGAATGGGATGCAGAGTGGTGAAGGCAGCCTGTGGCTGAGAAAGCAGAATTGCAGTCTGCCCCAGTGTGTGAGACTTGGTGGCTGTTTTGTGATTCTGTGGTATGTGTCAGTCACCTGTGTGGTGGAATGCTGTTTGTATTTATAAACCCAGATTAGAGATGAAAGCAACAAGCTTCTCTCCTGACATACATGCTCCTTTGTCTCAAGTCTGGATATTTTAGGAGAATGCTAGGTTGCTTGAGGTCTACCCCACTGAGAAATTGGCTGCAGTCCATTGTAATGTCCTGTTATGGTGGACAGTATGGATCCCACATTTTGTGTTCACATGCATGTGCGAAAACATAGCTGTTTTCTAGACCAATCTCAAAGAAACGAGGCTGGAAAATTATTCAAGATGCTGATAAGTTACTTGATTTCAAAAGAATCAGGACTTTTCCCTGTAAGAAAGAGGATGTTTAGTACAAAACCAACCGTCCTGAGAAATAGAACAATTGCTACATGTCTTTGTAAGGACAGGAGTGGTACTTTAGGTGCCTGTGTACCTGGACCCCTCTCACCGGTGGGGAGGGGGCCTGAACCACCTCTACTGGGGGTTCAGTTTCCCTTGACTGGACCACAAGGCAGAACAAACTTGGGGCTGGGGTACCGACTGTTTGGACACAGTAATTCGGCACTGTGAAAACAGACTGTCACTTTCTGATTAGCACAGGTGGAAAAGTGGAAAGGGACTGGCATAGCCTTCTCTGGAGCTAGGAACTGAACATTCCCCCTCCTCTTGGCCTTCCCACCCCTACGCTATTTCTATAGCCTCTCTCAGCAGGCCCCTTCAAAGCAGTGTCTGGGAAATAGCACTAGAGACTCCCAGGAATGAGGCGGCTGGAGGTAGGGGCTGGGGATGCGAAGCACCCTGGGATCGAGCTGCGGTCCCTGCTGGAGAGACCGAGACCGACCCGGGGATCGGCTGGATGGCTGGGCATGGAGGGGCCCGGGGCTAGAACGGGGAGAAGTGGGCCAGGCTGCAGAGATAACCTCAATCCCGCTTCTCTTGCCAGGAACAAAGGCGCCCTTTGAAGCACCTGCCCATTACCGTCCCGGGTCCGGGAGGGCTAAGTCTCCACAGCCCTCTCCAGGCATTGCTCTCAGGCCCAGAAAGTTCCGGATCTCCAGAAAATAGCACCGGATGGGGCCAACTCTGGTCTTCGCTGGCTCCTTCTCTTCGAGCCTCCAGAGCGTTGGGAGCTTCAAGGTCCCGACCATTCCGCGTTCGCTTTTCCTCTGCCACAGCCCGGCTTAGCGGAGAAGCTGCTTCCCCGCGCGCCGGGACCGCGCCGCCCAAGAGTGCTGCGCACAGAGCGCAGACATGTTTCTTTTCGTTCGTGTAGGGTTTCGTTTGTTGCATTAAAACCGGGCTGAAATGAGCATCGCAGAGACCCGGTTCTCTAGAAAACGCGGCGCCGAGGGTCCGGGACGGCTCGGCTCCTAGACCCGAGCCTCGGCCGGGAGCGGAGGGCGCAGAGCCGCTTGGGCGCGCATCGGTCTTCCGCAGCGATGATGGGCCCCAAAGCCACAGCGTCTCAGGGATCAGAAAAGTCCTTCAGTGCCCAGTGGATTTCCGGGACCGAAAATGCGGGCACACTTGGCTCCATCTGTGGGTCCAGATTCGGTTCTTGAGAGAAAAATCCAACCGTTTGTGCAACTCGATAACGTACCCGCTGGGACTGAAGGCTCCGAGATCGGCGACAATTTCCGAGAGGGTTTTGCGGAAGATTTATCCGGCCTCTCCTGGTTGAAGAAGCTCAGAGTCTGAGCTGGATGTCTCTAGAGGCTCCTACGGCCCTCGGCCCCCAGAGGCGTGAACCCCGGCGCGGAGGGCTTGGGGCATTGGATCCCAAGCCTAGGGCAAGGCTCAGGAGGCCACCTTCGGACCATCTGAGCCGCCAGAGGCCAAAGGACTTAGAATCCCTCTCCTCTGAGGCCTGTTCTCCACCAGCTTCCAATCCGCCGGCCCCTCGGCAGCCCGGGCCCGCGGGCTCGCAACCGCCACAACTCCAACTTGGCCCATGGGCGCCAGGTTGTGAGAGCCAGGCTGAGGATTGAGCCCACAAACGACAGGGGTAGTTTGCTCAATTTAAAATAAAACCTCATTTTATCAGTCAACATTGATTTTAAATGACTAGAACTCTTGCCAAAGCGACTGACATCGTAGGCATTTTTTTTTCCGGATTTGGATTTGGGCAAATCTTTTAAATCCCTGAAGAAGACAAGTCTACCTACGCAAATTCTTGTTCAAGTAATTACCTTCTCTGGTTGTGTGGGATCTGCCAGGTCAGTATCCATATTGGCCAGGTGGGACTGAGAAAATGGTATGACAAATCAGGATCCGGGAAAGTGGCATTCTGTGACAGCCAGCAACTCTAGCCAAAGCCTCAAGAGATCATTTTAAAAATCATGTAAATAATTGTACCAAACAGCTAATTGACTGTGCGGACGTAGCTTACTGTCACATTAGTTCCAGGAGCTGAAGCTCCAGCCATGTCCTTTTCATTTGTTTCTCTAAAAGCCGCGTTACCTAGCACTGAGCCGTGGAACCTCACGAGGTCGAGGGCCGCTCTACACTAACAAAATAAAACTGTAAACTAACTGTACAAATCAAGGCCACTCTTCAAAACGAATAGAAGAAAGACAAACTCTAGCAAATTTCAAGGAAGAAAACGAACTCCAACAAATGCAACTCTCTTTTCTTCGGGAAAGTCAGATAATTGATATGGTGTGTGTGTGTGTGTGTGTGTGCGCGCGCGCCTAAGGCCAGTGGGGGATCATCATTAGCAAACTGGTTGCAAACTAGGGAGCTAGGACTGGCTACCTACGACCTTAAAAGCCCTCTGCCCCCGCCTCCCGCCCGGGAAGACTGTGGTGTCGGTGACCCAGTAGTCGGCTGGGGGCCGGGTGGCGGCGGCGAGGAACAGAGGAAGCCAGTTTGCTTATTGCAAACCTTCCCCTTCTTGGGTCGGAGAGACACGTGTGACTCGGAGAAGTCGGACCAAGGTTGCAGAGAAACATCCCAAGACAGCGGAGCACTCCACACTGAACATTAATTCTCCGGTTCACCCTCCCTGCTGCCCCTGCTTCTCACAGAGCCAAGGCACGCGGATGGACTTTCCCCTGCCCGGGCGCCAGTGAGGGCTGATCCCTGGGAGACGGTGGTGGACGTGCGAGCGAAGTATGGTGTCGGGTCAAGCCGGGGCGAAGGGAGGGCGGCGGGAGCGGGACTCTCTGAGCGGAGACAAGCTCAGCCGGGAGAGAGAATAAGGCAGGCCGAGGGGAGGGCTAAGGCGAGGCTCCAGGGATGCGCCTGGGCTTGCCGTCCGGACAGGCATCGTTTCTACGAAAGCCTGAGGTCCCAACCTGGCTCCCCGGAAGGGAGACCTACTCGGCAGCGGCGCGGGTGGACCCCGCATGGCTCTTCCCGGCTTAGGAATCAACCCGCAGCCTTCTCGGCAACAACTTCTGAACAGCCCTGCGCGCCCCCGAGCCTCCCCGACATCGCCACAGCGCGGGCGCCTGCCGGCCGCCCGCCTCGGCGGGCACAACGTGGGCACTCACCCTGGAAGCGGTGGCCGAAGAAGCGGTTCCGCAGGACCCAGGGGTAGAAGTGGAGAGGGTCCCGGTGCTGGGCGCCGAAGAAGGAGTGCGGGGGCTGCAGCGGGGAGGCGCCCAGCTGGTGCGCCGGGTGCATGGTCAGCGCGGGGTGGTTCATGGCCTCAGGGAACACGAGCTCTGGCCCACCGTACAAGGAGCGGCCGGCGCCCGCGGCGGCTGCTGCAGGGAAGCCACTCACGAAGGCCGCCTCGGCCGCGCTGGGGTGAGGGTAGTTGAGCGCTGTGGGCCGGAGCGGTTCCTCGGAGGCGGCCGCCGCCAGGGGATGGGAGCCCGCGCCCCCGCCGCCAGTGCCCCCGCCGGTGCCACCGTCCTTGGCTACCAAGGACTCTATGGTAAAGCCGCGCTTGGCCGCGGGCTGGAACATGGTCGCAGCCGCCGGAGCTGTCTGAGGCAGCCGCGCTCTGGGGAGCGCTCCGCGTCCTGGCGCCGCCGCCGTGCGGGGTGTGCACCCAGCCAGGCACATGCACACACACCCGCACCCCTCACCTCCCCCGCCCGCCCGCTCGCTCTCGGCCCCCGCGGGCTAGCCAGTCGCCGAGCGGCGAGGGGTGTGTGAGCGAGCGAGCGCGGAGTCGGGCCACCGCGCACAGCCGGGCGCGTTGGCTGCTGCGGCGGAGCGGGCAGCTCCCGGCGCCGGCACAGGCGAGGGCTCCGTGCGATGCTCTGTGCTGCCTCTACGGCCGGAGGGCTGAGCCGTTTCCACCCTTCCGAGTCCCGCGGGACCGACCCCAGCCCGGGATATTCCCAGCACTGCCCTGCAGGGCCTCGGCCGCCGAGCGCTGCGAGGCGCGAGTTAGCCGGCACCTGCCCCGCGCTCGCCCATTGGCCGCCGCTCACCTGCCCCAAGGTGGGGGGCGGGGCGGGGCGGGGCGAGGGACGGCGGGTGGGGATGGAGCCCGCAGTCGGAGGCAAAAGCAGGACTGGAACCTTTTCCGGGCGATCTAGGCCTCTTCCCTCTCGCCACTGGCTTCTCCTCGCAACTCTGCCCTTTAGCTGAGTCTGGTGGCCGCCGCAGCCGTCTCAATCCACGCGGGAGCTGAAGAAGACGTCCGAAGGGCCTGGGGCTTTGGGACAAACTCCAGCCCCCCTCCCGGTGTGTAACTCAGTAGAACTCTCTCCCATTTGTCCCAGGATGTCGTTTCTGTTCTTAGAGAACTTGGATCCGAGCAGAGGGTGGGTATTCGGGCTCCAATAAATAGGTTCTACGGAAAACCAGCTCCCTACTCGCCTGGCCTCTGGGACCCTCCCACTCACCCACCGTCGATCGGTCTCCCGAGCCGCGGTCTGATAGTGCGGCCTTGTTCCTGAGCTTGCACGTTTTCTGGATGTCATGGGGGACAGCTCCGGAAAGGGGACACTTTTTTTTTTCACAAGGGAACAGGCGGGACGCAGCGCGGGAGAAGCCTCCGGAGCAGCCACCCCGTGAAGCCCTCAGGCCACAGTCTTGGGGCTCGCAAGCAGCTCCTTTGCCCAGCCACGGAGCCGCGGCCGGCTCGGATTAGAACGGCGGGCCTCAGCGCAGGGCTGTCTACCGTCCTCGCCTTCTCTGGTCCGCAGGCCGGGCCGGGCCGGGCCGGGCCAGGGCCTGGAAGACACTGTGTCTTAAATTGCTGCTGGCCAAGCAGCCCGGGCTCGTCCCCGAGCGGCCGCCAGCCGCCCTGGAAACGCAGCGGCAGCCTGACCTCCCTCGACCTTCGCCTTCCACCTGCGAAGCAGCGGACCACTTGGCTCCAGCCAGCTTCCATTTCGAGCACTAATTCCTGGGGGTGAGAAGGCGGGTGCCATTGCGAACCAGCACTCAGCAAACTTTCCACACGGACCTTCCAGGCCTCAGGAAACACCTCGCGGAGGCTCAGGAGGGCGCTGGGCGGCGGTGGGGAGGCTGAGACCTGGACCTGGACCTGGCCAGCGCCCCGCGGGGAGGAGACCGCAGAGAGTTCCGCTTCCTCGCCGCTGCCCGAGTCAATCCTAGTGGCTGGAGCGCGACCCAGGCGCGCAGATCCGGCTGGGCCTCCGGAGCCCCGAGCCCAAGAGGTCTGCGCGCCGCGCAGCTCTGCGGGGACTCCAGGCCAGGTCTTGGCAGTGGCACGCCTGAGCGCCGGGGGCCGTGGTCCGGGAGAGCGCTCCGGGAGCTCTTGCCGCCACAAAGCGGGTTAAAGTCTATTTTCCACTCCACTGCTCTGAAAAGCCCCCTCGCGCCGAAGCCGTTCCGGCCCCCTTGGGCTAAGTGGGGAGGAGATGGCGAGAGGAGGGGAGGCGAGGCGACCGCACCCAGTAGCCCTTCGCGTCCTGGGAAACCCAGGGCCTGGCACTGCGGAGGCGTCCCAGAAACACCTTCGGAAGAAATTTGTCATGGAATCCGTGACGAGCGCCTGTGTCCTTTTCGCTGGCTCTCTGGATCTTTCCGGCTGTCGGTGATGATCTCGTCCTCTCTTCGGTTTCTGTCTCAGGCTCTCTGTTTTTCCCCTCTCCTGCCTCCCTGCTCTCCTCCCGACTTTTCCTCCCCTTCTTTCTTCTTTCTCCTTCTTTTTCCCACCCTGTCTTGGAAAGGGGAAGCGCCCACAAGTTGGGGACAAGGACCCGACCAGGCCACATCACTAAGGGGGCGGGTGGTGCGAAGCTGGACAGAGGCACCGAACGAGATTTTCGTTCCTTATTGAAGGAAATAACAGGGGGTTTTGTTAGAGCAAGTTACCGGCAGGGACGCGGGTTCAGTTGGATAAACATTGCCTGGGCCTGCGCTCAGCGGCGACAGAGCAAACGCCGGGGCTACGAAGAAGATTGGAACCAAGAGCAAGGGGAACCCAGCCCCAGGGCCTTTTGACCATAACCAGGAAATGAATCTCACCGGTCCAGTCGCAGACCGCCGCCTCCTACACCCACCGCGAAGCTGGGCAGTGTACGCGAACTCATTCTGCTGGGCAGATAGAGGAGCCTGGAATCTACCCTACCATTCCTAGACTTGCCTCTGCACTGGCCCCATCCCCTTTCATGCCTGTGGCTCTGGGAATACATGTTCGTATCTAAATCATACACCTTTATATTAATAGTAACACCTACCTTCCCTTGTGCTTTTGAAACACCATGATACCCAGCTGTCTGTCATTAACCCCATTTTACAGATGAAGAAACAGACTACAGAGGATCAATAACTTGAGTTTGGTTACTGTCTGGGTTGTGCTGGGGCAGCCCAGTAGTCCTGGCCTGGCCCTGGTTCCACTTCCATTCCACCTCCACCGGGTATGCAGCAGCCCGCTTCCCATGGGGGGGGAGAAACTACCGCCCCACATATGGTCTTCTAGATCCTTGAGTGTGGCCCCTCCACCGCATCCAAATTTTATGGAACAAATCCTTTTAATAAAGGGATTTGTTCTGTGAAATTTGGATTCAGTCAAGGGGCTGCACTTGGGGACCTGGAGGGCCACATGTGGCCTTGAGGCTGCAGGTCCCCATTCCTGCTAGGTGATAGGAGTTCTACTTTCATCCTCCCCCATCTTTCCCTCTCCCAACGCCCCTTTCTCTTGATTTCCTCTCCTGTAATTCCCTAATTTCCTTCCTTCCCTCCTCTGCTCTGCATATATTTATCTCTTGCCTGGTTTCTTCTTATTTCCGCTCCCCTTAGGGCCTCTTCTCTCTTGTCGCTTCCCCTGCAGGAGGCTAAGAGAATTTGTCACCTTCATGGGGTCTCTAAGCCTACCACTGTGTTCTGGATTCAGCATCGTGCCTCCACCTACACCCTAGTCTCTTCCTGTGCCACCTCCCCTGCCCTCCCAAACTCTCATACGTCTCCCTCTACCACCATCCCCTACAGCTGATCTTATACATAAATACCTCCTCTCTTCACCCTCAGCTGCCCACTGTAACCCAAGCCCGTGAGCCCCCCACCTACGTTCCCTACTCTTCCGCTCCTCTTGCCCAAACTGCTGAGCCCTTCCAGAGACAGGAGGCTGATCATGCCTCCCTCATGCTGGAGTACCCTACATTCCACACATCTGCGGGCTGCTTACCTTTCACTCCACACGTGTCCAGCTCCCTCCTCTCCACTCCCCTGCCATGTTCTCAGAGTTCCCATCTCCTGCAATCTGTGCCTTACCTCCTGCGCAGAGCTGCATCCCTACTAGGCTGCTACAGCCTGGCCCACCCAATCTGGCTGTGACCTCTCATCAATGTTTTCTCTCTCCCCCTCCATCTCTGAAATAACCTGGGCTCGAATGCCGACTCTTGCAGTTATTAGTGGTGAGACCTGGGGCTGATTATCTTGCCTCTCAGCTTGCACATTTGTGAAATGGTCAGCATTATATGGAATCTCTGTGAGGATTAAATGAGGTAACATGTGATGCACACGATGACAAATGCCTGACTCCAAAGAAGCGCTTGGAAAAAGCCCCGCCCTTGCCTGGTCAAGAAAACTAAGAACAAGCCCAAAACCCTAACTCTCTCCCATCCTCTGGATCCAAGCACTCACTCAGTCTTGTAGTTAAGTACTTCTCTTCCTTTGGCTTCCCTGCTGGCTAGCTTCATTCACCACTCAGTTCCTCTCCCTGGGAAGCCCCACTATCACCACTCTGTCACAGCATTCACCTGCACGGTGGGTTGCTTGTATCCCGGTCAGTCTCCCTCACTGGGCCCCTCCTCCAGCTGGGAGGCTGTGGTGTGCCTCACACTCCCAGCACAGGCCACAGTGTTCTCCCGCTGAGCCCCCACTCCTGTGGAGAGCTTCCGCCAGCAACTCCGCAGCCACCTCTCTGTCACCTCTGATCTTTCTCTTTCCTCTTCAGCCTGCCTTTATCTTCATGGCTCCTTCTCTACAAAACGTCTTCTGTCCTCATGTTTCCCTTGCTCTGTTAATTTTTCTTCTTCAACATCAAACTTCTTGAATCATTTTTAGTCTGTCTCCAACTCTCTCACTTCCCCTCCACCCAAGCCTTTGCAACCAAACTTCAACCAACACCCATCACATTAGGAAAATGGCTTGCAGAAGCTCCAAAACTTTAATTATGGTGTTAGGACAAGAACAACATGTGCTATGGATATGACAGTGAGTGTAACCTCATGGAGTTATTGTGCGATTGAATGGGTTATGAGCCCCATCCAATGAACTTAGAGCAGTGCCCAGCACATGGTAAGCCTTAGCTATTATTCCATAGAGCTGTGCTGTCCAGTATGGAAGCCAGGAGCCACACGTGATGTGGGCGCTTGAAATGTGGGTGACCCGAATTGAGATGCTTTTTAAATGTAAATACACACCACATTTAGTGTTAGGCTTAGTGTTTTTTAAAAATGTAAAAAATCATTAATATTGATTACACAAAGTAGTGGCTAAATAAAATGTATTATTAAAATTAATTTTTTACCTGTTTCTTTTTACTTTTTAAATGTAGCTACTAGAACACTTAAAATTACATATGTGTCTCACATTATATTTCTATTGGACAGTGTTGTCATAGAAAATACGGATAATCCAAAAGGTATGGGGGAAACGAAAACAGAGATCTTATAACTATTAAATCCTGCTACTCAGAAGTAACTATCATGAAATTCTTGCTGTATATCCTTCCAATCCTTTCTATATGTGTCTCCCTTTTAAAACAATGGGATCATATGGTGCATAGTTTTGTAACCTTCTTCTTTTTCTTTACAAACAAAGCATTTTTGCCTCTCATTAAATATTTTTTGTGTTAAATATTCTTGATATGCTTTTATAAATTTTCACTGTTTTGAATAAAATTTTGACAGACAGCCACATAGCTTTATCTTACTGCATATTCCTATTTTTCTATTTAAATTTCTAGAAGTGTAATTTCCAAATGTGCAATGTTTTCATTGTTTTGATTCATGT